TGTACTTATCGAGTTGTATCATTAGATCAGTGGTATACAATAACTTCAAATTGATGAATAAGATACATGTTCAACCCTTGATGGATATCTTATTGGCGAATCTGCTCATGTCACTTGTTATTCCCTCTTCAAAGTCATTTATGTAAATTATGAAGAGCAAAGGGTCCAACGCTGTCCCTTGTGGAACGCCACCTGTAACTGGTCCCCAATCTGATTTCACCCCATATTTATGCAAAGTTTCTACTTATTAGCCAGCCATGCATACCTTAATCCATGATAAAATTTGTACTACAGTACCACGTGCTGCCATTTTCTTTAATAATTTTCTCTATTGTACTCTTAACGAAAGCCTTATTGAAATAAAAATGCTTTACTGAAGGGCAGTAAATTTGTCCGGCAGGAATGGCCCCTTGTGAATCCGTTTTGGGACTCGGTACAGTTATGCTAATAAAGGTGGCTTCTTATCATATCGGTTATAACTGATAATCTGCCAGCTATTGACGTCGAGCTTATTGGGTGGTAATTTGATTATAATTACTTATCCATGATTTGAAAATATGAATTACATTATCCATCTTTCACATCCCCAACACAACACTTGTTTGGAGCGTTATATTAAACAACCTAGTTAGCTGCTCGCTAAGTTCCATCTTGTACTCTTTAAGTAGTCTTGAAAACGGTTCATCAAGACTCGGAGACTTATTTTGCTTTAATATGCCTGCCTTTTGGATAACCATGTCTCTGGTGGCTGTGATGTGAATTAATTTTTCTTCTTCAGGCCTCCCTATAAATAATGAACTCTGGGATATTATTTGTCTCCTTTGTTAAGACCGAAAAGACGTAAATTAAAAAAAATACATTCTTTGGTACGCCAGCAAGCTGTCCTCAACTAGACTGTTTTTTCCCTGATATTTCTTCGCTAAACTTGAAAGAATCGTAGGAGATTCGTCTTGAATTCATTTGTCCCTTTAATTTCAAAGTCGCATTTAGCCTCTGTTATCCCTTTCTTTACATTTCTTTTAACATTAACATATTGATCAGTAAGGTGACTCTCTTCCCTTCTTGATGTGCCTCAAAATTTATATTTTCCTCTCCCAAGAGATGTATTAGTCTCTTATTCATCCCTGTTGGATTGTTTTTAATCTAATTTCTCTCAGAGGACTATATATGTCGTGCCGAATAGGTAAAATTGGTCAATTAGCAAGAAATCATTTAAAATTAAGTCCATTCTAAAATTTTCTCTTATACGTTTAAGATTTATTTTTTTCATATATTGTTACGCTTGGTCGCCTTCCACATTACTTTGGGCCGAAATATCACTTAATATCATATTGCCAACATCCTTATTAATAGCTAAAATTAGGAAGTCCGACTATATAATAATATCTGGGGTCATAGTATCTTACTAAACGGAATCTTGTTCAATTAATGTGTATTATAACTTGACTTAACGTCACAGGTTAGGAGTAACAGTGCAGGTATTGTTAAGCACTTGAGTAACGACCAATCTCTGGTTCAACCCCGAGAATGACGCGTGACCTACCTTATGTCAGGTCGCACCTCCTCACAGCAAGCAGTAGCAGCTGGTCCAGGCCAAGGTGCATCTGAGATACTCTGTTGTACCAGATCTCCATTCCTTTGAGAATACGGTAGATGGTGCTCGAAGGTGACATACCTGTACTCACCTAATTGTGGTTGCAGGGGTCGAGACTCAGCTCCTGGCCCCTGTGTCTTACGTCCCGTGTTAATAAATTATCTTGATTACTCACAGGCGGTCCGAAGAACACCTCCCCCCCCCCCGTGAGGTCACCTTATGTAATTTTGCAAGTGTGAATGATAATGATACTTTAAGGTCATGTAACTAGTTCTATATACGTGTATATATATATATATAATATATAATATATATATATATAATATATATATATATATATATATATATATATAATGTGTGTGTGTGTGTATAAAGTTTCGTCGAAAGGGAAGCGGTAAACCCGTAGGGATTGTATAGAGCCTGAAAAATGGGAAGTAATAGGGTTTGCTTTAAGGAAAGGAAGTGTAGCTCCAGTTCTTTGGATCAGTGGCAATTAACCCACCAAGTAACACCTTCTGGAAGGATGCTGTAAGCAGAGCATAATAATAGTTATTTTTACAAGTTCATGTACATCTCATACAGGCCCAGCTAACATCAGTGACATGCTGCTCTATAGAAAGCCCCCTGTTATGCAGAGCATTTCGGGCATACTAGATCAGTTTTGTCCCCACGATGCTACCCACATCAGTCGAGTAATGCCCAGGTACCTGTTTACTGTTAGGTGAACAGGGACAGGTGTCTTAAGGAAACACGCCCCGTACCGGGGATCGAACCACGGATCTCAGTGTGTGAGGTGAGTGAGCTATCAACCGAGCTATGGGACATCTTAACATAAACTAGTGCCTGCTTCAGGTGGGTCACGACCGCGTCACACACCAAGGGAATTCCCATTTATCTGGTTGGAAAAAATATAGTGTAATGGAAGTTTTCTTTCAACTGAGATAACTCTCGTAACCTAACCAACAGGATATCATATACTAATGACTAGTGACTAGTTTAATACAACTATACCCACACAACTGACTGGATATCATGCATTAATAACTACTGTAATCGAAACACACCCAAATTCTGATGCAGACTTGCAATATTGGGCTGTGCTATATGCAACGGTCAGTAACAGTTAAGATATCACAGGGGAAGAAAAGAAGTTAGACTGAGAGACAACTTGTTGTGATTTATGCCTATTCTTCCTTCACCAATTTTCTATGTACAATCCTTCACCAATTTTCTATGTACAACATTTACAACCATGCAAGGATTTCAACAAGATCCAATTTAATGATAAAGAGTGAACACAAAATATTCGCAAAACAGGTCACAATAGAATATTAGCCAGCTGACGACCTTAAGAGACTAGTTGGATGGAACAATTACAAGCGAAATAATCTGTCCCCAGCAATTCCCCTGACAAGTCAGAATGCCGCAGCACACCTGACCCTCACAAGATGATCTAGGGATGTATACTACCACCAGATGGAAAAGACTACAGGAATGTGATATTTAATTTGCCTAGGCTAGACTTAGATTGTCACTTTTGTAAACAGTAGGTCTACCTACTTGTTTCCCACTAGCTACTGGCCTAGGCCTAGTTTCGCGAGTGGCCGGTAGATGGCAGGCTCTTGTGGTCTGGCATCTGCCTCTCTCTGCTCCTACTTGACCTCCGGTCGACATCTATCCCCTTTGGACTGGCTTCTGGTACCCCTCTTTTCTGCGTCAACCCTGTGTACCTTTCAAATAAACGGAGCTAGTGTACAACGTCTGAGCTACCCAGACGGGAGAAGTCAGAACACTTTATAAATCAAACCTAGGAAAAGAAGTTAATTTTTGTAATTGTCGTGCAGTGTTCTGTGTTTATGAACGTCTCAAATCATCATAATTTTTCTTTTATAATGAGATTTGTTAATAAAACGAACCAGCATCCCAAATATTTTTTATTAAATTTGTTTAATAGTATACAAAATACATTTATGTACATATAATACATACAAAAAGTGTATAAATACACACAAATTATATATTATATATATTATATATATATATATATATATATATATATATATATATATATATATATATATATATATATATTTTTTTTTTTTTATTATCACACCGGCCGATTCCCACCAAGGCAGGGTGGCCCGAAAAAGAAAAACTTTCACCATCATTCACTCCATCACTGTCTTGCCAGAAGGGTGCTTTACACTACAGTTTTTAAACTGCAACATTAACACCCCTCCTTCAGAGTGCAGGCACTGTACTTCCCATATATATATATATATATATATAGTGTGTGCTCACCTTTTTGTGATTGCAGGGGTCGATTCATAGCTCTTGGCCCCGCCTTTTCGCTGGTCATTACTAGGTGTGTGTGTATGGGGGAGGAGGACCCATCGCTTAGGACTCGGCGGATAAGCATGTACATTTAGGGCAATTAGTTTCGTCAATGGAAGGCAATTGACCAGCCCTCAGGATGCGATCCACAACACTCCACTAACACTCAGGTATGTATTTCTAAAATTTCTAAAACTAAGTGATCAGATCATTTGCTTCTATTGTGTGTGTGTATATAATATATATATATATATATATATATATATATATATATATATATATATATATATATATATATATATATATAAAAATATATATATATATATATATATATATATATATATATATATAATTATATATATATATATATATATATATATATATATATATATATATATATGCAATAGATCACAGTAAACAGGTGATTTCAGAGAGCTTTACGAATTTGTAGTCCTGAGTTCATAGATGAGGAAATATCCAAAATTTATGAAATAGGTAATGATTTAAAATACCCAAGAAATGTAATTGATAAATCTTTTAAAGTTGCTAGAAATACTTTTTACAATCCAAAAAGGGACAACCAGCCTTATTCAAATAAAAATATGTTGGTTCTCCCTTACCATGAAAACTTGGTTGATATGCCTTCTCTTCTTAAGACTTTTAATAGTTGTATTCAAAAATCTTGATACAGTAAAAAAACTTTTGATAAAGAATTCCCCCCAAAATGCTGATGGATGTGTGTATAAGATTCCTTGTAAAATTTGCGATAAAGTTTATTACGGTCAAACTGGTAAAAATCTCGAACTAAGATTAAAACAACATAAATATAGCATTAGAACTGGACAAGATTCCAATGCTCTATTTATTCATGTAAGAGATTTTAACCATCCAATTGATTTTCAAAAAGCTGAGAAAGTAGTATCAAGCAAGTCCATGGTCGACAGGAATATAATTGAATCTTGTTTCATAAAAAGCAGTTTTGACAATAATATGAATATTTCCTTTGGTTTATATAAATTAGATCCATTTATAATTAATAGAATTTGGGAAGAATTTAATAATACACTGGACAAATAATCGTTAAAATTTCTTATTTCTTGGGTAGAATAGTTTGTGGGGTGAGTTGTGCCAAGGACCTATCCAAGTTGGGTCGGCGCGCGTCAGGTGTTTAAACCGTTGTGGGATCTGATAGTGAGGTGCCGGCCAGACCCCTTATATAGCTTCCTTGGATGCTTTACTTTCATAGTTCCTTGATAATGTGAGTAGTCACGAAAGCGCTTGGAATTTCTCTATTCTTTCAGAGTGGTTGTTTTGCATATATATATATATATATATATATATATATATATATATAATATATATATATATATGTCGTGCCGAATAGGCAGAACTTGCGATCTTGGCTTAAATAGCAACGCTCATCTTGCCATATAGGACAAGTGAAAATTTGTGTATGCAATAATTTCGCCAAAATCATTCTGAACCTAACGAAAAAAATATATTTCACTGTGTTTGCTTAGTATTAAATTATTGCAAACAATTCTAAAATATATTTAGCTGGGTTAGGCTAAAATAAATTTTTCTTGTTATAATAAGGTTAGGTAAGTTTTCTAAGATTCTTTTGGTGCAAAATTAAATTTTTTTACATTAACATTGATGAAAAAAATATATCTTTAAACGTACAAGAGAAAATTTTAGAAAGGACTTAATTTTAAATGAGTTCTTGCTGATTGACCAGTTTTACATATTCGGCACGACATATATATATATAAATATATATATATATATATATATATATATATATATATATATATATATATATATATATATATATATTCAGACAACAAACGTGTCTATTTACTTCCGCTAACAGTAAGGTCGTTACCCATCTATTTGCAAACATTTTATTAGCAACATTACAGCTCTTACATTAAACATTCATTAATATATTTTTTTTAATGCAAGAGTTCTGTTACTTTTAGCTACGCGTGATGTATATTTAATGTATAATAATAATAACAATAACAATAGTACTAATAATAACTGTTATGTACATACATGGATGTTAACACTGGAAAGTGCCAATGAATGGACAGCATCACTAGACTTTCTAGTGTGTACTCTCAGGAAGAGAAAATGGGAATTAAAATACAACCAACATATTTTAATTTGAACATTTGTATCTTATGAAATTGTTAATACATTTAGTTATGTATTACAGTTCCTCACAAGCCAAAATGAAAAGTAATGTATTATACATCTTCAAATCAAACTATCTGTTCCATGATGCTATTCACTAATCTCTACATTGTTTTTGCGAAAAAATATAGTTTTCATAATAGCAACTACATGGCATATTGTTTTTCATTCATGCTGCTTGCCACTAAAGTTAAATTTTTTTAATTTGGAATGTCTAGGTGATAATAAAGGATTTGACATGTTTGCAAACGTCGTTTGGTAACACGTATGAGACAGTCCTCGAAGATCTGTCTGGAGCCTAACTGCAATTGTTCTGCAAGGTTTAAATTCCTCATACATGGCCCCAGTGTCTTAAAAGTTCGTACAGTGTTACGAGGTTACCTAGCGTATTAAAAGATTACCCGTTGTTGTCACGATATCACTCGTTACAAGATCATCCACTGTTACAAGATCATCCACTGTGTTACAAGATCATCCACTGTTTTACAAGATCAACTAGTTTATAGCAAATTTCCCAGTGTATTACCGAGCGTGTCACAAGATTATCCAGTGTGTTGCAAGATCACCCACTGGGTTACAAGACCATCCAGTGTATTACCGAGCGTGTCACAAGATTATCCAGTGTGTTGCAAGATCACCCACTGGGTTACAAGACCATCTAGTGTATTACACGATCATCGAGTGTGTCTAAGACAATGCTTCACAAAGTGTGAACACAGGTGGCCCCAACACACAAAATGAGCTCTGCTGTAGTGTTTGATGAAGCTCTGAACTTGTCTCGAGGCTAAAGCTTCTGCACACTAACCGCTTTCTGACCGGCTAAGCTGGGGTGACCGCAACATGCAGAGAGAGTTTGGAACCAGAGCGCGGGGGTCTAGCATAAAGACAGCCTGGAACAAGAGCCCGGCACTTAACAGTAATGATCGTCGGTCAGTTTGTATTCTCGCCCCATGCGTTGTATAGTGTCCTCGAAGCAGTACCGCCACCTGCATAAAAAAGATGTTAGTTAAATTTGTGGCTATTTCATCATTATATATCGTTTTACCTGCATAAAAAAAGATGTTAGTTAAATTTGTGGCTATTTCAGCATTATATATCGTTTTAATGTCTTTTGTTGAATGGTTTCCTAAATATTTAATTTCATTTATATATATCATTCATATCCGAAAACGTCTGATATATTTTTCATTATATAAAATGTAAATTTTTGAAGGTTACAAGAAAAAATTGCAACTGTATCAGTCTTTTCAGTTGTATATATGGTTCATACGTCGGTTTGCGTGCGGCCAGCAGTAGCAGCCTGGTTAATCAGACCCTGATCCACCGGGAGGCCTGGTCGTGGACCGGGCCACGGGGGTGTTGGCCCCCGGAACACCCTCCAGGTATACTTCAGGTATTGGTATTCTCCGAGGAGGAGAATCTATAGTGATGATCGGATTTTTTTGTCTTCGAAGTTTTCGCGTTTAATTTCAAAATGTTTAAACTTATCTACTTCAAGTTTAAACGCTGCTTTACGGTTGTGGGTTAAAGATTCATGTTGATGTTGTGATATGTAAGTGCACTCTTGTCCATGTTATAAACCCGGAAGAGATTCTAAGCAAGACCTTGAAAACTTCTCTTCGGATCGGCTTTAAGCTTTCAGCGTTGATGTATCTTACTCAAAAAAAAAAAGGTTCAGATTGTTCGTGGGATGTGTAAGTGCCAATTTGTAAATTTTATACATGTAAACATCACAGCGTTTTCCATGTGATAACTTGTGAAGGGTTCTTGTGTTCTGTTCAGTAGTGTCGTTTCAGTGGCTATACCTTTAATGCCGATGAACTGCTCTTGATCCAAGGAATATGCGCTCTCACATCAAACCTAATTACCCCCCATTCCCTAAGAGCTGTATGATCCCTACTGGTTTAGCGTGTCCCAATAATAATATAAAAATAATAGCAATAATAATAGTAATAATAGCATTAGTATTATTAATAATAACAGCAGTAATAATAATAATGCATTCATTTTACTCACTTAACATTTTGTCCCAGGGGTTCAATGGTGATGGACTTGAGATGGAGCACTGGGTTCTTAAGTCGCCAGATCATAAAGTTGAACATAAAGCCAGGGTACTGCAAGGTCACTCCTACCGTCTTTAAGTGACCCAGATCATGGGTCAGAATAACACGACGGTGTACCGTTCCTGCCTCGTAGTAACGTGACCTAGTGAGAGTCAGTCAGTAGCGTTACAGATTGGTAACTCTGAGCGTAAGCTTAATTAACAGAAGAGAGACTGTAGAACGTCTAACACAGTAACCGAGAGGAACCCTGGAGTTACTGTTACATTTATAAAATACTACTCTTAACTTGTGGAAATATGACACAGTTCGGGTTATATGGTATGTTGCTGTCGCCCAGAGGACGACACCACTTCAGAATAAAATGCCATAACACGAATTGTGTGTTTTATTTACTTACTGTCAGTATGCACTGTTACTGTATAATTAACATAATTCTGACATTAACACTGACACTTGTATTCTGTTGTTAATATGCAGTAGGAACCTGCAATTTAATTATGACTTTGTGAGTCAAAATATAATAACACAATTACAAACAAACCACTGACCTGGAGTTTTACAACTCACATGCCATGGGTTCAACCCCCATCCGTTCCCTGGTCTGATGTTTATATCGTGTCGAATACGTAAAATTGGTCATTTAGCAAGAACTCATTTAAAATTAAGTCCTTTCTAAAAAAATTTTTTATACGTTTAAAGATATATATTTTTTTAATTTATGTTAATGTAAAAATTAATAATTTTGTACTAAAAGAGCTGTATAGTCCTTGTGGCTTAGCGCTTCTTTTTTGATTATAATAATAATGTACTAAAAGAACCTTGGAAAACTTACCTAACCTTATTATAACAAGCGCAATTTAATTCAGCCTAATTCAACTAAATATATTTTAGCTAAGTTATAATAATTTAATAATAAACAAACACAATTAAATATATTTTTTTTTCGTTAGGTTCAGAATGATTTTTGCGAAATTATTGCATACACAAATTTTCGCTTGCCTTATTCGGCAAGAAAAGCGTTGCTATTTAAGCCAAAATCGCAAGTTTTACCTATTCGGCATATATATATATATATATATATATATATATATATATATATATATATATATATATATATATATATAATGTGCGTGTGTGTGTGTTAACTTGTATTCTGTTGATAATACAAGGACAAGAAATATGACTCATTTCAAAGTTTTGTTCACATTTGTCCCCTAGTTCTGTGCTCTACCATTTGAAGTTGGTTATCCCTATATACTTTGTTTCTAAGTTAGGAACATGTTTCCTCCGATTATTTGATCTTCTGGTGACGGAAGTTCTAGCTGTTCTACTTTACCTTCATTTTGCAGCACTCTTGGGCCTTGACTCTTACACGTTTTCAGTTTTTTTTTATTCTTGATGAGATGAAGTTTTCATGCTGGCACTGCATATTTCAGAGCTGGTTTCATGTATGACATCTACAGTAATCTTAATGCCTTCTTGTTCAAATTCTTGAATGTTGTTCTTACGTTTGTCAGCTTTGTGTCGCCAGTGTTATTCTGTTTGTGTGCTTTAGGCGGAGGTTTGGTGTAATGTCCATCCTTAGTTTCCCTTCATTACCTATTCCATAAGATGTCTCCCATTCAGGTGTTACAGCCTAAATCCTTTTCCCATACTCATAATTCTGAATTTGCTGGAAGTGAATTCCAATAACCACTTACTGGACTATTCCTGGCAGCCGTCTTGTCCTTAGTCTCCATATTAGTTTTGCATCATCTTCAAACACTGACATGTAGGAGTCTATATCCTCAATTAAGTCATTTACAAATATCATGAACAATGGATAATGGAACACTGCAAAAGTGTCTCAGTCGATTTTCTAAACCATTTATATTGCATCATGAACAGAGTCCAAGACCTGACACTTGTGGCACTTTACATGTTGCTTCTCTCCATCCTTACACGTCTTCCATCACACGTCTTCCATCACTATACCCTCTGCCGTCTGCTTGCTGAATATTCTCTTTACTACTGGACTATCTTCCCACTTTGTGAGGGGCTTTAGAGTAAGTTTTTTGACTCTAGGAATATGCACTCCACTTATATTTCAGTTTATCTCTCTCATAGTCATTCTATGAGCCCGTGTTTTCCAGGTAATTATCTAGCTTACTCCTTACTATCTTCTCTACGCTGCAAGGTATGCATACCAACGACACTTGTTTGTAATTTAACATCTCTTGTCTGCTTTCGTTTTTCAAGTTCGGTTCTGCATTTTTAGTTTTCTTGCGACTCTCCTGTCTTCACTGGTTTGTTGCAGTTCCTCCTTCCGTCTCCTTTAACAACATCATGATATTTTATCTTGTCCAATTGACTGTGATGACATCGGTTAGTTTAAGTGGCTTCTCTGTACTTCTTCTGTCACAACTGTGTGGTCTACAATGGTGTGGCAAGATTTCTCGTCTTCCGTTTCCGGCAGGTGACCTATTTCGATCGTTAATACTTCTTGGAATCTTATATTGAGGTTTCCGCAGAATTCCCTGTTATTATTCGTGAGTTTTTCCCGTTTTCTCTCTTATTGCATGAGAATTATCCTGATGGCATGTACTAATAGTTTTAGATGTTTGGTATAAGTCACCTTGCTGTACTCTTTCTATTCGTTTTCTGACTTTAATACAGTGGTTCCCAAACTTTTTCAGCTTGTTACCCAATTTAACATGCCACATAAAGCATGTTACCCCTTTCACAAAATGTTGTTATTATTGATATATATGGCTAAACGTGAACGTATACAGCCTCGCATACTCTGCTAATCCTGGCAAAACCATTGAAAACGTAAGAACCACACATACATTATATATAAAATTAATAGCTACAAATTCACAGTAACAGTGGGTAAATACTAACTATATACTGCACAGGGCAGTACACATACATACCAGCTTATGTCTACCTCGGCTGATGCTCACAGATAAACTGACAGTGTGAAATAGAGGCAGCCTCAGGAAGTGAGTGACGCATACTGGACAGGTCGATCTGGGCTACTGAGTGACTTTTGTCCTGAAGCATACTTGTCAAAATACTTTTGGGTTTCCACACACTTAGCTATATATTTCTTCTTTTCTAATACTGTATATTAGTTTTTGATGTTTATTGTTATTTGGTTTAACTTTATTACTTATAGGTTTACTTTACAACTTTATATACTAAGACAAAGTTAACAATAATCCTCATACCGGGTACCGCGTTGTTTTCTTGATTTTCAGAATTCATAACTTTTTTTTCTGTCACCCCTCCATTACCCCCCAAAAATGGTTAAATTACCCCCAGGGGGTAATTTACCCCCAGTTTGGGAACCACTGCTTTAATACATTACGTTCTATACTGTTCTCGGTTCTTTCTGTTCTAATAAGTGGATCCAGTGTTGTCATTTTGACACCATCTCTAAACTTTGTTATTTATATCCAACATTCTGACTCGGGAAATTCCCCATTACTGTCTCAGCAATTTTTTTCTCTCCACTTTTATTTTTCTAGTGTTTTTTTTTCAGTTCTTATGAACAAAATGTTCCATAATCATCCATTCGTATCTGTTACATTACATTTTTGTGCCGCGTATTTCAGGATTTACCAATGCCTTGCTAATTTTCCTTTTATTCTTGTCTTGGTCCTCTTATAAATTGCTGCTGTATTACCTGTTTTCATTTCCATCTCACAGTTCGTAAATAAGACACACAATGATTATGACATCTTATTGTGGAGTTTTATCCACTAAAGACTTATCCTATTGTGTGCCTTATTTACATTCTGTCTGTATACTCTACCTTTGTATCAAAACCTCACATCTCGTCTAGAATTACATTTATATTTATGCACCATGTTTGTATGTGGAGGGATAGTAAAATCTATAGTCACTGCGAATTTGTACTTGTCTTTATAAAAGTAGATAGATTTTCCTAAGATAAAAACGTACATGTCACATGTGGGTACGTAATCGTGTTAGGACAGGGGAGTGCGTAGATGTCAACATCCAGTATTAATAACCCATATGGAGACAAACTTAGGAGATTAATTGGTCGGTAAATTTCGATTCCTTTCTAGGAGCCTCTTCAGATCTGGATCTCAGAAAGGGATCGAAATATACAGACCAAGTAATCTTCCGAGTTTGTCTCCGTGTGGCTTTTATTGAGTATTAACAAGTGTTCATTACAGTTCAGTTATCTATGCAGTATTATGTATGTACGATAAAAAATATATATAATTTAACCGTACTTCTCTGAGAGTTGTATAGCCTGAGACTTGTCCTTGTTGCCAGTGAGTCTGAGGTAGATGATGGCAAACTCTCCGTCGTGTTGCCTGGCCTCTGTGTTGTTGTTCACCTCCACACTGACACGGTAGTGGTAACCTGTAGCAAGTATCATAACACTTTGAGAGAAAAAAAATCTTTAAGGAAACATACGCATCAGTCAGATGTGAAAATATTGTATATTCATTTTCGCTATGACATTGTTGTACAAGTGATATATGATTCAGTGCTGGTTCATTCCACATTAGCATTTTGAGCATGAAATAAGGTACTGCTGCCTTCACAAGAGGTTCACTTACCGCAGTATGGACTGTGGTCATTGGTGTGGAGGAAGAACTTAGTGAGAGGCTGGAGTGGGAGAGGAGCAGCAGCCACCCCCATGGGAGAACAGTAATGGTCGCCATCACAACCCCAACACTCGCCCTGTGTCAGTAACACCTCCGTCACACTGATATAATTTTATCTAATATTTTAAGGTAGAATAAGGGTGAATAAATAATGTATGCCATACGTGAAAGACTTATCAGTATCACCCTCAATAATGTTCCCTCGTGTATAATTTTCCCAGATATTCCAAATTCTTACTAAACACCCAACACTCTTGAACGTTTAAAGACAATCAGAAAAGGCATTTTCAATTTGAAATTGGAATTAAGTAACTCTGTTTATTAACTTTGTTAATAAAGTGTCAAATTTGCATACACAAATCCTAAATCTATCGAGCATCACCTTGCCCATAAGATGCATTAGTCATTAAAAACTAAAGCCAATCAGAAGAGGCACTCAAGTTATTTCACTGAAAAGAATACTACGTTGTTTTAGAAATAATGTTAGAAAAGTGGCATCAACACATTCTAATGTTAATCGCATCATTCATCTGAGTTTGATACGTGTTGAAAGTTTGAAACCGATCGGAGGAGATTTTATGATACACGAACAATTAAAAGGAACAAGAATTGATCCAACAGCAAGAATAGAATCAATCAATCAATCAATCAAGTTTATTCTCTATAATGATTGCAATGCGGGGTTTACAGATTTTGGTTACTGCGTGGTTTACATGTAGTAAAATACTAAATTACAGAGGGGCCACTAGGACACCTAGCATGACTAGGCATTTCGGGCAAACTTAGATTAATTCTTAACCCTAAATTATTACAAATTATGGAGTAAGTTGACTAAATACTAGAAGACAGTTTATCATAAACAAGAAGAGAAGGAAGAACAAGAATACCAAACCAAAATCCCAAATATAAGATACTACACGAGATTTACAGAACAAGTAACTCGCCTCAATAAATTCTTCATAAGAGTTGCAGGATACAGCCGACAGGGGGCAGGACTGTCTGATGGACTCAGTGAAGAGTGTGATGGCGCGGTGATGTTGACACTGGATGTTTCCTGTCACACACAGCACAACACATTAATATAGATTTGAATAGACGGAAGATCGAACCTTCCTCCCAATACCTCGCTGAATAACCTACACGGGTTTATCGCTTTACATAGGACCTACTGTTTTGAAAGTTGTATTAGCTATAAGGGTACAAACATAGGATCAAATGCTAAACCACTCAACATTGTATAGCACAAAGACGGGGATGTACTCAAGGTATAGCACAAAGACGAGATATACTCAACACAGTATAGCGCAAAGACTGGGGATGTACTCAACATGGTATAGCACAAAGACTGGGGATGTATTCATGATATAGCACAAAGATTGGGGATGTACTCAACATGGTATAGCACAAAGAATGGGGATGTACTCAACATGATATAGCACAAAGAATGGGGATGTACTCAACATATAGCACAAAGAATGGGGATGTACTCAACATGATATAGCACAAAGCATGGGGATGTACTCAGCATGGTATAGCACAAAGACTGGGTATGTACTCAACCTGATATAGCACAAAGAATGGGGGATGTACTCAGCATGGATTAGTACTTACCATCACATCCTGGTTGCTGATGACCGCCATTAGGAAAAAAATCCAGGTGACCAATTGGCTGGGTCATTCCTACACCTACGGAAACAAACACACTTAGCAACAGTAAAGTAAATTACTTAACCTAAAAGTATATTACCTAGGTAGTAGATTGGTAGACATCAACCACCCAGGAGGTACTACCGTCCTGTGGTAGTAGATTGGTAGACATCAACCACCCAGGAGGTACTACCGTCCTGTGGTAGTAGATTGGTAGACATCAACCACCCAGGAGGTACTACCGTCCTGTGGTAGTAGGTTGTAGACAGCAACCACCCAGGGAGATACTACCGTCCTGTGGTAGTAGGTTGGTAGACAGCAACCACCCAGGGAGGCACTACCGTCCCGCCAAGTGTGAAATGGAATCCTGTATTTGTTTTACATGATGGTAGAATTGCTGGTGTCTTGTCTTATTAACACATGGGATGACAGGTATATCTTGCTACTTCTACTTACACTTAGGTCACACTACACATGCATGTACACGCATATATACACCCACACCCATCTCGGGTTTCTTCTATTTTCTTAATTCTTGTTCGTTATTTCCTCTTGTCTCCATGGGGAAGTGGAAAGAAGTGTTCCTTCGTAAGCCATGGTGTTGTAAGAGGCGACTGAAATGCCGGAAGAAATGTGCTGGTAACCCCTTCTCCTGTATAAATTACTAACTTAAAAATAAAGAAAAACTTTCGTTTTTTATTTTTTTGAGGGGTCAGCCTGCCTCGGTGGGATACGACCGGTTTGTTGCAAAAAAGTATATTAAACACAAAATACAAATGGAAATAAACATCATAACTGGCGGTGTTTCGTCCGTCAGGAAACGGGTATCTCAGGACACAAGCCTTAGTAACATGCTGACCAGCCCTGTGTGTCAATATCCACTGCTGTCAGCGGTACTACAGCAATCAGGACAAGTGTTTCCTAACACTGGTCTTAGTCATATGATAACTCAAACAGGACAAGTGTTTCTTGACACTTAGTCATATGATGGCCCAAACAAGACAAGTGTTTCCTGACACTGGTCTTAGTCATATGTTAACTCACCAACACAGTAGGATGAAACAAGAACAAACACAGGAAGTTGAAACAAGAAATAAACAAGGAGGAAAACTAAAATAACACATTTAAAACACTGTTCAACATTGCTACTCACTGAGGGGAAAACCCAGGATGGGTGAGTCATCCGTGTGGATAACGTCGACAAAAAGTGCGTCAGAGGGGTCGAGGCGGGTGATAGTGTGGGTGTCGTTGAAGTAAGGCTCGGCCGGGTCTAGAGCAGTGATCCTGGGCAGGAAGAGTCCATAGGTATCTCTGAGGTAGGTGCCCGTGTGGCCGTTCAGGTGAGAGCCAAGACTGTGACCCACCAGGTGGAAGGACGAGATGGGAACGTCTGCAAATTTCTGAAAAGTGATAGGCAGGGTGGATCAGCGGCAATACTGGGGGTTATAAGGTGAAAGGGGGGGAAGGGTCTGGAGTGGTGTGGTGAGGGGTGGTGCTGAGGTTATGAGGGGTAGTGATAAACTGAACAAATGGAGTGAGATATGGATCTACCTACCTCTCCAGATAGAGGTAGGTAAATCCGTGGATGGTGGAGTTTAATGTTTTTAAATGATATGTAATGGAAATAGGAGAGAGGGAAATCCGACCACAGAAAGTAGTTGGAACACCATACAGAGGAAGGACTCAGGAGTTTAGTATACAAATATTACCAAGAAGTCATATAAATTAAATTGTGAGAAATGCATGATACACTGGCTAGCTATAAAATAGCTTTCACGATACAGTAGCAAGTAAAAAAAAGGCATTATCTGCCACAATAATGAGTACACAACATACATTAAGAGTGTGTATGAGGTATGCTAGCTGTGCTCCCACTAGCCTGATGTTAGCCACCGCCTGTGTGTATGGTGGTCTGGCCCCCATGCTCCAGTCCACCACTATCACATTCTGGTCGCTGGCTCGAAGTAGCTCCCCTGTCAACATCTGTCACGGGAAGATACGAGATACGAAACAATTATTAGAAGAAAGGCTCACTAGTGTATATATTGGTGAATATTATTTTCCTCTCACGACTTTTATTTCAATAATGCATTTGTCAGGAAGAACTATGGTCATGTACCGGGCCACGGGGGCGTTGACCCCCGTAACACCCTCCAGGTATATGTGACATATCAGTATTCTTGAACATACTTTCACGGTAATTTAGAAGGGAAAGTTATGCATACATTTCATTCATTGGTGAAGCTATGCTCTCCTTTTGGCCCGTGTGACCAGGCTTTGAACCAGGCCTGGTTTCAGACCGGGCGACTGGGGCGATGATCACTACATCCATCCCCAGGTAGCTAGATCACTCGTGATTCCTAAAACTCACGTCTCTTATGCAGGCGTCACTCAGATTACCCTGGCTCTCTAAACTTTGATAGTGTGGGTATTAAAGGTGGCCCGCTCCTATCACACACTTAAGTTATCGTATAGCTTCCACTGTTATCTTAAGAATAATGTGTAATGATAATGCCGAGCCTATATCTGTTGGAGTATGTTACTGAGTTATCTTTATGCTGAGAAGCTCCTGGGTGGACGGGAGGGAAAAGGACAAAGGTAACATGTGTTGTCCAGGATGTGTCCATGTTAACCATTTTCTTACCTTTACATTCAGCATGCACTTATCTTTACTTTTTATATGTGTATCTGTTAAAAAGTTTAGGAATATTTCCTTTCAACTTTAGGAAGCCCGGCTGAGACCGGACCGCGGGAGGCGATAATTCCCAGGACTTAACATTTTCCCTCAAAAATTGACACCTTTCACTGACACCATAGATGACTTACCTAGGAGACGTAGGTGAGGTACACAGGACCTGATTTACATTAACCCAGGGAACGTAGGTGAGGTACACAGGACCTGACTTACATTAACCCAGGAACGTAGGTAAGGTACACAGGACCAGACTTACATTAACCCAGGGAACGTAGGTGGGGTACACATTATCTGACTTACCTTCACCCAGGCGGTACCACCGTACGACGAGTAGCCATGAGAGATGACAGTGAAGGGCTTGTCTAGGATGAAGGGAGCATTCACCACGGAACTCAGGTCGCCAGGGTCCAGCGTCTGCGAGCAACACCAACATAAAATAAAACAAGGTAACACAAGATATCCCAACATAAGGAAAGCTTTGTTCTATTATTCCTACGGTGCCTTCAAGGTGGAGAGTTCCTTGATGACAGGAAAGGACTGTCTTTTTAAGCTGGGGAGTTGGAACAAACCTTCATTTTCTAAGTTCACATCTAATTTCTTCCCATACCCAAGGCGCTTTATGGCCCCTCCGGATTTAGTGTTTTTCTACAAACATGATAATATTTTACGTATGGTTCTACAAACATTCATACATTGCTTTCAATACACAAAATTGCTATAGGTAAATATTGAAGGTAAATTATATAAGATTTAAATTTGGAGAACCTAAAAATGAAGTCAATGTGACTCATTTACATTGAGGCCATGAACAAGTTTAGCAGAATTAATAATAAAAACATTAGTATTTTTATATAGCCTGTGAAAGGTATATATTTCAGTGTGTATACATTGAGAGATATGCCTGGTATGCACTCGGTATATATATTTGTTCATAACTTACCCACACTTCGGGCAGGAAATCTGGGCTTGATGCGGCATAACATATAAGTGGTCCTGTTAACCAAGAACAAGAAACTCTGGACAACGTTTCGATCTTTCCTAAACACTAAGTCGTGCCTTGATAAAGGTGCAAGACGGACCGAAACATCGTCATAGGAAGTTTTTCCCCCACAGTGTGAGATATTTTTGAGTTGCCTTAGCCACGATATTGTGACTTTTATTATTATTATTATTATTATTATTATTATTATTATTATTATTATTATTTATATATTTACCGCTGGAACAGTATCGTTGAGCCTTGTGAAGAGTGTGAACAGAGTACGGATCTGGTCTGGCGCCATGGGAGGCTTGACCACTGGTCTGGAGGTGTGTAGCCACGGTGGTCGCAGTGAGAAGCACGTGGTCTGTCCATACACCGTCCAGCACTCTGCAACATGCAACACACGGGGTTAGTGACTCGTTTACACTTAAGATTCTCCTCGATCCTCGGTACTGGTGGAAACATTGGGCACGCTTCCTTAAGACACCTGCTGTCCCTGTTCACCTAGCAGTAAAACAGGTACCTGGGTGTTAGTCGAATGGTGCGAGTCGCAGCCTGGGGACAAAATTAACACAAGTTGCCCGAAATGTTCTGCATATGTCAGTGATGTCAGCTAGGTATATATAAGTTGTACTATGTACTTGTAGAAAAAAAGATTATTATTATTATTATTATTATTATTATTATTATTATTACTCACACTTACAATGCCTCTTAAGGAAAAAAAATGCGTTTGTGAGAGACTGAGATAGCGTGCGAAAATCAACATGGGTGTTTTGAACACATATCGTCGTTGGTTTTCCGACGCTCATTGTCGTACCCAGCCTCTCTATGTACTTAGGATACGTTAGGTAGACGTAAACACCCGTGGTCCCTGTTCACCTAGCAGTAAATAGGTGTCTGGGTGCTTAGGCAAGGTTAGTCAGGAAACAGGACAAATATTTTATGACGCGGGTCTTAGGTACTAGTCGACTCCTGTGTGTGCTAGGCTTCGAAATGAAATTTTATGTTCACAGGGCAGCACTGAACCTGGAAAGGTCTGTCAATTTCTGGGGAATGGAAAGTAATCAGGTTTGATTCTAGGAAATAGAGGGTATCTCCGGTTCCTTGGATCAGGAGCCTTTCCTCCATATTTAAGGGCCCCATCCCTGGAAGAAAATTAGGTGTGAGACACTCAGAGAGTCAGTTGTACCCTCAGTGTGGTGCAGTGGTACCCTCACAGTGTGGTGCAGTGGTACCCTCAGTGTGTGGTGCAGTGGTACCCTCACAGTGTGTGGTGCAGTGGTACCCTCAGTGTGTGGTGCAATGGTACCCTCACAGTGTGTGGTGCAGTGGTACCCTCACAGTGTGTGGTGCAGTGGTACCCTCACAGTGCGTGGTGCAGTGGTACCCTCACAGTGTGTGGTGCAGTGGTACCCTCACAGTGTGGTGCAGTGGTACCCTCACAGTGTTGTGGTTTCGGTTCAGTGGTACCCTCAGTGTGTGGTGCAGTGGTACCCTCACAGTGTGTGGTGCAGTGTACCCTTACAGTGTGGTGCAGTGGTACCCTCAATGTGTGGTGCAGTGGTACCCTCAGTGTGTGGTGCAGTGGTACCCCTCACAGTGTGTGGTGCAGTGGTACCCTCACTGTGTGTGGTGCAGTGATACCCTCACAGTGTGGTGCAGTGGTACCCTCACAGTGTGGTGCAGTGGTACCCTCACAGTGTGGTGCAGTAGTACCCTCAAAGTGTGTAGCGCAGTTGTACCCTCACAGTGTGTGGTGCAGTGGTACCCTCACAGTGTGGTGCAGTGGTACCCTCACAGTGTGTAGTGCAGTAGTACCCTCAAAGTGTGTAGTGCAGTTGTACCCTCAGTGTGTGGTGCAGTGGTACCCTCACAGTGTGGTGCAGTGGTACCCTCACAGTGTGTAGTGCAGTGGTACTCTCACAGTGTGGTGCAGTGGTACCCTCACAGTGTGTGGTGCAGTTGTACCCTCACTGTGTGTGGTGCAGTGTTACCCTCAGTGTGTGGTGCAGTTGTACCCTCACAGTGTGTAGTGCAGTTGTACCCTCACAGTGTGGTGCAGTGGTACCCTCACAGTGTGGTGCAGTGGTACCCTCAGTGTGGTGCAGTGGTACCCTCAGTGTGTGGCGCAGTGGTACCCTCAGTGTGTGGCGCAGTGGTACCCTCACAGTGTGTGGTGCAGTGGTACCCTCAGTGTGTGGTGCAGTGGTACCCTCACAGTGTGGTGCAGTGGTACCCTCACAGTGTGGTGCAGTTGTACCCTCACAGTGTGGTGCAGTTGTACCCTCACAGTGTGGTGCAGTGGTACCCTCAGTGTGGTGCAGTGATACCCTCACAGTGTGGTGCAGTGGTACCCTCACAGTGTGGTGCAGTGGTACCCTCACAGTGTGGTGCAGTGGTACCCTCAGTGTGTGGCGTAGTGGTACCCTCACAGTGTGTGGTGCAGTGGTACCCTCACTGTGTGTGGTGCAGTGATACCCGCACAGTGTGGTGCAGTGGTACCCTCACAGTGTGGTGCAGTGGTACCCTCAGTGTGTGGTGCAGTGGTACCCTCACAGTGTGGTGCAGTGGTACCCTCACTGTGTGTGGTGCAGTGGTACCCTCACAGTGTGGTGCAGTGTTACCCTCAGTGGTGCAGTGTTACCCTCAGTGGTGCAGTGGTACCCTGAGTGTGTGTTGCAGTGGTACCCTCACAGAGTGGGGCAGTGGTACCCTCACAGCGTGTGTGGTGCAGTGGTACCCTCACAGTGTGGTGCAGTGGTACTCTCACAGTGTGGTGCAGTGGTACTCACAGTGTGTGTGGTGCAGTGGTACCCTCAGTGTGGTGCAGTGTTACCCTCACAGTGTGGTGCAGTGGTACCCTCAGTGTAGTGCAGTGGTACCCTCACAGTGTGGTGCAGTGGTACTCTCACAGTGTGTGTGGTGCAGTGGTACCCCTCACAGGGTGTGGTGTAGTAGTACCCTCACTGTGTGTTGTGCAGTGGTACCCCTCACGGTGTGGTACAGTGGTACCCTCAGTGTGTGATGCATTGGTACCCTGACAGTGTGTGTGGTGCAGTGGTACCCTGACAGTGTGTGTGGTGCAGTGGTACCCTGACAGTGTGTGTGGTGCAGTGGTACCCTGACAGTGTGTGTGGTGCAGTGGTACCCTGACAGTGTGTGTGGTACAGTGGTACCCTGACAGTGTGTGTGGTGCAGTGGTACCCTGACAGTGTGTGCGGTGCAGTGGTACTCTGACAGTGTGTGTGGTGCAGTGGTACTCTGACAGTGTGTATGGTGCAGTGGTACCCTGACAGTGTGTGTGGTGCAGTGGTACTTGATAGTCATCTGCCTCCTACACTACCCAATACCACACATGGTGTTAGAATAACACACATGTTAGAATAAAACATGTTGGAAGAACACACATGTTAGAATAACATACGTTAGAAGAACACACATGTTAGAATAACATACGTTAGAAGAACACACATGTTAGAATAACATACGTTAGAAGAACACACATGTTAGAATAACATACGTTAGAACACACATGTTAGAATAACATACGTTAGAAGAACACACATGTTAGAATAACATACGTTAGAAGAACACACATGTTAGAATAACATACGTTAGAAGAACACACATGTTAGAATAACATACGTTAGAAGAACACACATGTTAGAATAACATACGTTAGAAGAACACACATGTTAGAATAACATATGTTAGAAGAACACACATGTTAGAATAACATACGTTAGAAGAACACACATGTTAGAATAACATACGTTAGAAGAACACACATGTTAGAATAACATACGTTAGAAGAACACACATGTTAGAATAACATATGTTAGAAGAACACACATGTTAGAATAACATACGTTAGAAGAACACACATGTTAGAATAACATACGTTAGAAGAACACACATGTTAGAATAACATACGTTAGAAGAACACACATGTTAGAATAACATATGTTAGAAGAACACACATGGGGTTAGAACAACTCAGAAAATAGTTTAAACAACTGGTTAAATGTTTTGTTCTTTATTCTTTCTCTTGGTCCATCACCACTAACACCTGCACCACCACCACTAACACCTGCACCACGCCACCACTAACACCTGCACCACCACCACTAACACCTGCACCACCACCACTAACACCTGCACCACGCCACCACTAACACCTGCACCACCACCACTAACACCTGCACCACCACCACTAACACCTGCACCACCACCACTAACATCTGCATCACCACCACTAACACCTGCACCACCACCACTAACACCTGCACCACCACCACTAACACCTGCACCACTAACACCTGCACCACGCCACCACTAACGCCTGCACCACGCCACCACTAACGCCTGCACCATGCCACCACTAACGCCTGCACCACGCCACCACTAACGCCTGCACCGCCACCACTAACGCCTGCACCATGCCACCACTAACGCCTGCACCACGCCACCACTAACGCCTGCACCACGTCACCACTAACGCCTGCACCATGCCACCACTAACGCCTGCACCACGCCACCACTAACGCCTGCACCACGCCACCACTAACACCTGCACCACGCCACCACTAACACCTGCCCCACGCCACCACTAATACCTGCACCACCACCAAGCACCAACACCTGCACAACGCCACCACTAGCACCTGCACCACGCCACCACTAACACCTGCACCACGCCACCACTAACACCTGCACCACCACCAAGCACCAACACCTGCACCACGCCACCACTAACACCTGCACCACGCCACCACTAACACCTGCACCACTAGCAGGACAGTGGTCGCCACAATCAACAACTATCAATTTCCACACTAAGCGCTCTTATGTTCCCTCTCATGTTCATGATTGTTGGAACTTGTTGTTCACTCACACATTCTTCCAGTGCTTGTTCACTCACTCTTCTTCCTGTGTTTGTTCACTCACACATTCTTCCAGTGCTTGTTCACTCACTCTTCTTCCTGTGTTTGTTCACTCACACATTTCCATCATGTACTCAGACTCCACTGTTTACAATCCTCTAGTAGCTGTGTCTGGCTCTTAACACAAACATAACACAGCTGACATTCGTAGAGTTTAGAATATTTATGGATGACAGAGAATCTGTTACAATTTAAGGTGGATGTAGTTAGATGTATTTTATCATCCAGATTTGTCTCCCCCCCCCCACTCCCGTCTCCTATATATAATATCGGTTGCACCCATTCCATCTCCTGTGTACGGGAGAGGATATCCTGAGAGATAGTAATTCTTGGGTAACAGTAACTCCAGCTCTGCTGGAAGGAAACCTTTGAAGCTCATGTCCATGATTAGCGTTTAATGGAAGACTTAATATTCTTATTGCTCTAACGAAGTCCCCCAGCTCGAGCTGATACATTGCAACACTATGTACGTGACACATTCTTCGTGACAATATAACATGGAATCATAGTTAGCTTTTGTCCCCACTGTCTAACCCTCACATGTAACAGGAAAGCAGCACACTGTTGATGTATGCAAGTTTGTTAAAAATACTTTAATTTGTGCTCACAGCAGACAGTATAAAAAAGTGGAGAGGAGGGAAGAGTGTGTCAGAGATAATGGTCAGCAACAAGAAGCAATGGGAGAGAGAGCGAGAGGAAGTGAGAACAACTGATGAACATTAGAATAGTTGCGTCTTCATATCCGGTGCAACCTTCCCTACATACACGCACTCACACGACACACTCACACAACACACGCACTCACACAACACACGCACTCACACAACACACGCACTCACACAACACGCACTCACACAACACACGCACACAACACACAAGCACAACACACAAGCACACGGCACACAAGCACACGACACACAACACACAAGCACACAACACACAAACACACGACACACAAGCACACGACACACACACACAACACACGCACACAACACACAAGCACACGACACACAAGCACACATCACACAAGCACACGACACACAAGCACACAACACACAAGCACACAACACACAAGCACACAACACACACGCACACAACACACGCACACAACACACGCACACAACACACAAGCACACGACATACAAGCACACGACACACACACACACACACACACACACACACACACACACACACACACACACAACACACGCACACAACACACAAGCACACGACACACACACACACAACACACAGGTGTAGAGTGGCTTGCACACCTTTGTCATTTGGGAATAAATTGTGGAGCAAGCAAATGACAACAGAAGTTATATGACATGTATTTCCTTTACCAAATCAGCAAACTGGTATTTACAATATGTACACTACAGTATGTACAGTAATGTAAGAGCAAGTGTACAACACGGTGATAAAAGGAGGCAAAAATGCAAGAGCCAGATAAAACAGTGTGAAAGACCAGCAGCCTAGACAAGTCTGCCAGAATTGACATAACAAGTGAACCACATTGCTTCACAGTTCTGGCGGTCTTGTTTGTGATTGGCCTATGAACCGAGGTACTGATATAATGACGGGGCCCTTATTGATCGTTATATTCTTAGCACCTGGTTCTGGTTGGGAGGCAGCCTATATGGGAGTGTAACATACGCTGAATAAAATGTAGTATACTCGCAGCATGCCACACCCTGCAACCACAGTTAGGTAAGTACGTGTACACACACACACACACACACACACACACACACACACACACACACACACACATACACATATACACACACATACACATATATACACACACATACACACACACACACACACACACACACACACACACACACACACACACACATACACATACACACACACATACACATATACACATATACACACACACACACACACAACACACACACACACACACACACACACACACACACACACACACACACACCATTCCGACATCGAAATAAGGAGTCATTCAGGATCCTGTACACTATGTACGTTAGGCCCATACTGGAGTATGCAGCGTCAGTTTGGAACCCTCACCTAGCCAAGCATGTAAGGAAACTAGAGAAAGTGCAAAGGTTTGCTACCTGGAGTTTACCTGGAGAGAGTTCCGGGGGTCAACGCCCCCGCGGCCCGGTCTGAGACCAGGCCTCCTGGTGGATCAGAGCCTGATCAACCAGTCAGAGCCTGATCAACCAGAGGAGAGGTTAAGGGAAATCAACTTAACGACACTGGAAGACAGGAGAGATGGGGGGTACATGATAACGATATAAAATACTGAGAGGAATCGACAAAGTGAACAGAGACAGGATGTTCCAGAGATGTGGCACAGCAACAAGGGGTCACAGTTGGAAGCTGAAGACTCAGATGAACCACAGGGATGTTATGAAGTACTTCTTCAGTCACAGAGTTGTCAGGAAGCGGAATAGTCTGGGTAGTGATGTAGTGGAGGCAGGATCCATACATAGCTTTAAGAAGAGGTATGATAAAGCTCATGGAGTGGGAAGAGAGACCGAGTAGCGGCCAGTGAAGAGGCGGGGCCAGGAGCTATGACTTGACTCCCGCAACCACAACTAGATGAGTACAACTGAGTACACACACACAAAACAAAACACAGACAGACATTCTCAGACTGTGGAATAACAACCATTTTCAAACAGTTAAACAATAATGATTCTTAAACTTAGATGATAATGGTATTTTACTAAGATGACTTGTAACTATGTACATATACAAAACCTTCACAAAAACACATACAACAAAGAAAAAAAAAACATTTTTGTAAGATATTATTATCATCATTATTATTATCATTACATTCATTTACCCTCTATTCTTCCTTGAATGAGTTATATCTACTTCCCATTTCCCAGGCATTGTATGACCTTTACGGTTTTAACGCTACTCCGTGAATATTAACTATGAATAACTTACTTTCTTCCAGGGTGTTGGAGGGTACTGTATCAGACTCAGGGGGTGGCGCTCCCAAGTCCATCAACAAATTGAAGTTCAAAAGATGGAACAAGACAGCACTCTTGGCTACCCCGATGGCTGGCATCTTGCTGCCCCTGACGGTCACCTGTTAATGTAAGATGATCCTTACTAATGTAAGATGATACTTCTGGTCGAGTTACTGAGTGTCATGGAAGCTGTATGTGTGTCCCATATCCATGTCACCTAGTATGTGGGAAGTAGTCGATTCGAGACTATAATGTGGATGGCTGTCATCTATTATATGGGCTGTAGCCACGTCCTATTCATCAGTGGACAGTAGTCGCCTATTCTGTGAGCAGTAGTCACCTCATAGCCATCTGTAGCATATGTAATAATATAATATTTTTATTTCTACAAGTACATGTAAAAGGTATACAGGCCTACCTGACATCAATGACATACTGTCTAGAAAGCCCCTTGTTATGCAGAGCATTTCGGGCAAATTATATCAATTTCGTCCCTGGATGCGACCCACACCAGTCGACTAACACCCAGGTACCCATTATAAACTGATGGATAACAAGAACAGGGACAGCAGGTGTCTTATGGAAACACGTCCCTCATGTTTTCCGGCCGTACCTGAAGAGATTCGAACCCCGGACCTCAGTGTGTGAGCCGAGTGCGCTAGCGATCTTGTTCCCCGGGATGCGATCAACACCAGTCGGCTAACACCCAGGTACCTACTTACTGCTAGGTGAAGAGGGACAGCAGGTGCAAGAAAGTATGCCCAACATTTCCACCCAGCCGGGAATTAAACCATGGACACTCAATGTGTAAGGTGAGAGAGTTGCCTACCAAGCCACGATTATACAGATAGCAAATTGTGTAATAATCCAAATACAGTGCTTTTTTTCTTTAACATGAGAAGTAAACAGACGGTAAGAGGAATACTGTATATTTCGGGATGCAAATGAAGCTCTCATCAGCAAACTGTGCTTGAGCAAAAGTAGAGAAGATGCTGGTCCAGCGAGAGCAGGAGACATGACATAGTCAGCAGATGCTAGGCTGCCTTCAAAGCTTGCAAGTGCTATCATCAAGTTCTCCTTTTTGTATTTGCTTGTATCTGCGTTCTTGGTAGTAGTAGCTGGGATGGTGGCTGCTGTGGTGGTGACTTGGTTGTCATATTGCTGGTTATAGTTTTAGTGGGGATGGTGGTGTTGATTGTTGATCGTAGTGGTGAGGGTAATAAAACCGGTATGCCATAGTTACTTAATCACTGATACACAACATTAGTAATCACTGTACCTAACACTGGTAATCACTGATACCCAACACTGGAAATCACTGATACCAACACTGGTAATCACTGATACCCAACACTGGTAATCACTGATACCCAACACTGGTAATCACTGATACCCAACACTGGTAATCACTGGTACCCAACACTGGTAATCACTGATACCCAACACTGGTAATCACTGGTACCCAGTACTAGTGAGCCAGAGTTTGCTTAGTGACTGAGCAGGTCATCTGACGAAGAGCTGTGTCAAGAGACACTTTCCTGTTTCTTGACGACCACCACCTTCCTTCTACCTTTATCAAACGTTGCAAGCAAAAATGCAGGCAGACACACACACACACACACACACACACACACACACACACACACACACACACACAGAGCTACGGGGATTGTCCTACGAAGAAAGGTTGAGGGAAATCGGCCTGACGACACTGGAGGCCAGGAGGGTCAGGGGAGACATGATAACGACATATAAAATACTGCGCGGAATAGACAAGGTGGACAAAGACAGGATGTTCCAGAGATGGGACACAGACACAAGAGGTCACAATTGGAAGTTGAAGACTCAGATGAATCGAAGGGATGTTAGGAAGTATTTCTTCAGTCATAGAGTAGTCAAGTCATGGAATAGTCTAGAAAGTGAAGTAGTGGAGGCGGGAACCATACATAGTTTTAAGGCGAGGTATGATAAAGCTCATGTAGCAGGGAGAGAGAGGACCTAGTAGCAATCAGTGAAGAGGCGGGGCCAGGAGCTATGACTCGACCCCTGCAACCACAAATAGGTGAGTACAAATAGGTGAGTACACACACACACAGACCTGTGTCTCTGACATGTATTGTGTGCAAAGTCATGGAGAAGATTATCAGGAGGAGAGTGGTCGAACACCTGGAAAGGAACAAGATTATAAATGAAAACCAGCATGGGTTCATGGAAGGCAAATCTTGTATCACAAACCTCCTGGAGTTTTATGACAAGGTAACAGAAGTAAGACACGAGAGAGAGGGGTGGGTAGATTGCGTTTTCCTAGACTGCAGGAAGGCCTTTGACACAGTTCCCCACAAGAGATTAGTGCAGAAGCTGGAGGATCAGGCGCACGTAAAAGGGAGGGCACTGCAATGGATAAGGGAATACCTGACAGGGAGGGAGCAACGAGTCATGGTACGTGAAGAGGTATCACAGTGGGCGCCTGTTACGAGCGGGGTCCCACAGGGGTCAGTTCTAGGACCAGTGCTATTTTTGATATATGTGAACGACATGATGGAAGGAATAGACTCTGAAGTGTCCCTGTTCGCAGATGACGTGAAGTTGATGAGAAGAATTAAATCGGACGAGGATGAGGCAGGACTGCAAAGAGACCTGGACAGGCTGGACATGTGGTCCAGCAACTGGCTTCTCGAATTCAATCCAGCCAAATGCAAAGTCATGAAGATTGGGGAGGGGCAAAGAAGACCGCAGACAGAGTATAGGCTAGGTGGACAAAGACTACAGACCTCACTCAGGGAGAAAGACCTTGGGGTGACCATAACACCGAGCACATCACCGGAGGCACACATCAACCAAATAACCGCTGCAGCATACGGGCGCCTGACAAACCTGAGAATAGCGTTCCGATACCTTAATAAGGAATCGTTCAAGACACTGTACACTGTGTATGTTAGGCCCATACTGGAGTATGCAGCACCAGTCTGGAACCCACACCTGGTCAAGCACGTCAAGAAGTTAGAGAAAGTACAAAGGTTTGCAACAAGGCTAGTCCCAGAGCTCAAGGGAATGTCGTACGAGGAAAGGTTAAGGGAAATCGGACTGACGACACTGGAGGACAGAAGGGTCAGGGGAGACATGATAACGACATACAAGATACTGCGGGGAATAGACAAGGTGGACAGAGATAGGATGTTCGAGAGAGGGGACACAGGGACAAGGGGTCACAACTGGAAGCTGAAGACTCGGACGAGTCACAGGGACGTTAGGAAGTATTTCTTCAGTCATAGAGTTGTCAGCAAGTGGAATAGCCTAGCAAGTGAAGTAGTGGAGGCAGGAACCATACATAGTTTTAAGAAGAGGTATGACAAAGCTCAGGAAGCAGAGAGAGGATCCAGTAGCGATCAGTGAAGAGGCGGGGCCAGGAGCTGAGTCTCGACCCCTGCAACCGCAATTAGGTGAGTACAATTAGGTGAGTACACACACACACACACACACACACACACACACACACACACACACACACACACACACACACACACACACACACACACACACACACACACACATATATATATATATATATATATATATATATATATATATATATATATATATATATATATATATATATATATATATATATATATAAGAATATAGATTATGTTCAAAACCATATTATAATACAAATTTTAATGATTCACACACATACACAACCAGGAACTGTGACTCGACCCCCTCCCCTACAACTTCATATAGGTGAGTACACACAAACACTAAAAAAAATGATGAAAAAATTACTGAAGAGGGAACACCTCGATCATAGCTGTGTTCCTGGAGTTACAAATAGATACTTACAAACAGGTAATTACACACTAACACAGAAAATATAAATAATGTTAAATTCACTGACCGAAGGTTAATGTGATGTGGTTGCTAGGCTTCCTGACCTCAGTCGTCTCTGCTGATCTTGCAGTGATATGCTGAACTTGCCAAGGGTCGGTATTAATAGCAACGACTCCAAACAATATTTATTATGTTTTAGTAACAAGGACGCCTGTTCGAATTGAAATTTTAATGAATATATATTTTTTTACTGTAAATCTGTCAAATTAAAAAAATAATGTTTTGAAGATCTCTCGCCTGGGGGTTCCTTCTCACAATATTATCGGTGAAATATCTGATCGGATTTTTGGGGGGGAGCAAATTCCGAGTTGCGGTCACGCAGAGCAAAGATCTTGGTGTTGGCACTGAGGCACCAGGACGAGGTCTTCCCTCACTCCCCACTACACCTCGTATTATAGTGGCGGCACTGCGGTTGCCAGGTTTCACTGAGTCAAGCCATATATGTGTACACACATCATATGTGATCCCCTCTTTTAGTAGACCGACTGTGAGAGCCAGTACGAGTACGTGAAAGTACAATAATGTGTGTGAGTGTGAATATGAGAGTGAGCTCCATTGCTAGCGCATTCGCCTCACACACTGAGGTCCGTGTTTCTATCCCCGGTACGGGTGGAAATATTTGGACATGTTTCCTTAAGATACCTACTGTCCCTGTTCACCTAGCAGTAAAATAAGTACCTGGGTGTTAGTCGACTGGTGTGGGTCGCATCCTGTGGATAAAAGTAACCTAATTTGCCTGAAATGCTCTGTATAACAAGGGGCTTTCTATATCGTAATATGTCACTGATGTCAGCTAGGACTGTACTTGTAAAAAAAATATTATTATTATTATTATTATTATTATTATTATTATTATTATTATTATTATTATTATTATTATTATTATACATATTGTTGAGAGAGGGACAGAGAGAGTTGCCCCAGCCTGGGGTCAGGTTTTTCTGTTGATTGCCTGTTAAAGTTGCTGGTGGCGGCCCGGTGGCCCACACAGCCATCACAGCCTCGTTGATCTGGCACTTGGCGGTGACAGTGATCCACTTTCCTCTTGCAAACTTTTACGCTTGAGTTAGGTGATTACAACTGGAAGAATTGTTACCCGGCTATGAGCCGAAGACACTACGAATCAGGGGTTCATGTAAATGCCGCGGAACATTTTAGCGTTGTATAATTGTATTTATTATTTTACTGTATAATTATTTTTATTAGTGAGAAAGGATGTTAATTTCAGCTTGTGTGTAGCGTGTATGCGCATGAGTGTATAATCGTTTATGACATAAAGCTCTAAATGTTAAACCTTCATTAATTCTGTCTCTTCGTGAGGTCAAAGGTCGGCCAGTTTGCATTGTTAAGTTTAAATTTATTAGGGATATGCAGAATGATCCATAGATTTTTTTCTTAAGAAGAGAAGTGAGCCCCACCTTATTTTCTGAGGTTAGTCAGGGAGACTATCGTCCTGGACAGTCATGTAACTTGTAGTCTTTAACAGAAAGTGCAAATACAGAATCGCCAAAAAATAACAAATATACCGAGGGTTAACAAGATATACATACTATCTTGAATGATATACTACAGTAAAATCTGTTGCAAATACATATAAATGAATGAAACACATAGACAACATTGGCATCTTTAATGCAGACATTCCGCCAACAAGTGGATATACAGCACAATACAGAGAATAATACAGGAAACAGTGGAAGACATGAAGAAGTACCTTGAGATAATCAATCCCTCTCAACCTTGAAAGAATGTGCTCATTCCGAGTCTTAATGGATCGGTAATACATATGTATAGTTGGGCAGACGATACCTGAGGGAAACCATCTTAGTTAAGATGCTATTATATGACCATTCTTTGTTTCATAAATGAAGTTTAAAGCCTAACATCATGAATCAAGAATTTTTCACTCATATCAAGGCACTTGACCACCTTCTTTAAATTGTTGCTTTCCCTTAAATGTTTAGATAAACTTTTATTTGGCCGAGTATTTAGACATCGCTCAGTTTTTTGGGCTGTGTGTTTGAACTGGGTTAATATTTCTTCTTTTTTGTTTTATGAGTAGTGGAAAGGTTCCATCCAGCAAAAATATGCTGGAACACCTCATGTTTACGTTGTGTCGTTAATGAGTAGCGAAGAATCTATACTACGTACGTAAGATTCGATAGTGTCTTTATCACTCTCTCTAGCTTATATCTCTTGTACATCTCTCTTAAACTATATTAAAACATGGGTGACGATAGTACGAATACCACCGTGGTATATAACCCTGACCTATGATCCTTTTAATCTTGTTTACTGTGTATCAGCTGATTTCTACATCAACACCTATTGGCTTCTGTAAATCCTAGAATTTTATTAACGTTAAGTTTCTCCTGTACTGCCAAACTCAAGGGACTTCAATAATCACACACACACACACACACACACACACACTCGGGGCCAGGAGCTTGGACTCGACCCCTGCAACCTCAACTAGGTGAGTACACACACACACACACACACACACACACGACATATATATATATATATATATATATATATATATATATATATATATATATATATATATATATATATATATATATATATATATATATATATATGCAATAAGATCACAGTAAACAGGTGATTTCAGTATTTCTAGCAACTTTAAAAGATTTATCAATTACATTTCTTGGGTATTTTAAATCATTACCTGTTTCATAAATTTTGGATATTTCCTCATCTGCTCATGTATGAAAACCGTTAACAGCAATTTCAATAAAACAATAAAACTACTGAAAGGCAAAGATGAATTAGTCAAACAATTTACTTCCACTAATCCATCTTTACCTTACATGTATGGACTAATAAAAACACACAAACCAGGGAATCCAGTCAGACCAATTATTACCTCCATAGGGTCAGTTTCATATAAATTATCCAAATGGCTTGTTGATATTTTGAGCCCTATTGTTGGCAAAATTTCTAACTTTAATGTTAAAAACAACATAGACTTGGTTGATAAATTAAGCTCCTTGACTGACTGAAATGATTTTAACATGGTTAGTTTTAATGTTACTTCCTTGTTTACGAAAGTTCCTGTTGATGATTTATTAAGTTTCTTATCTGAAGAACTCGTTAACTATGATTTACCATTGCCAGTTCCTACTATCATTAAACTTATTAAACTTTGCATTGTTGATGCAAAATTTGTATTTAATGATAAGTTTTACACTCAGAAGTTTGGTATGGCAATGTGAAATCCTCTTTCACCTGTTCTTAGTAACCTATACATGGAATTTTTTGAAATAAGGTTGCTTAACACAATCCTCCCTAATAGAGCTAAATGGTTCAGATATGTTGATGATATTTTGTGTCTTATGCCCAAAAATGTAGATGTACACCATTTCCTTGGAAAATTAAATAGCTTAGCCCATTCTATAAACTTAACTGTTGAGTTTGAAGAAAATAACTCATTGCCTTTTCTAGATGTTTTAATTATTAAGGGTAAAAATGAATTCAAATTTAAAATTTACAGAAAACCTACAAATAACTGTTCCTATATCCACTATTATTCCTCGCATCAAGATAGAGTCAAACTGTCTGTTTTCTCATCAATGTTTTTGAGAGCTTTACGAATTTGTAGTCCTGAGTTCATAGATGAGGAAATATCCAAAATTTATGAAATAGGTAATGATTTAAAATACCCAAGAAATGTAATTGATAAATCTTTTAAAGTTGCTAGAAATACTTTTTACAATCCAAAAAGGGACAACCAGCCTTATTCAACTAAAAATATGTTGGTTCTCCCTTACCATGAAAACTTGGTTGATATGCCTTCTCTTCTTAAGACTTTTAATATTAAAGTTGTATTCAAAAATCTTGATACAGTAAAAAAGCTTTTGATAAAGAATTCCCCCCAAAATGCTGATGGATGTGTCTATAAGATTCCTTGTAAAATTTGCGATGAAGTTTATTACGGTCAAACTGGTAAAAATCTCGAACTAAGATTAAAACAACATAAATATAGCATTAGAACTGGACAAGATTCCAATGCTCTATTTATTCATGTAAGAGATTTTAACCATCCAATTGATTTTCAAAAAGTTGAGAAAGTAGTATCAAGCAAGTCCATGGTCGACAGGAATATAATTGAATCTTGTTTCATAAAAAGCTGTTTTGACAATATGAATATTTCCTTTGGTTTATATAAATTAGATCCATTTATAATTAATAGAATTTGGGAAGAATTTAATAATACACTGAACAAATAATAATTTTTAAAATTTCTTGGGTAGAATAGTTTGTGGGTGAGTTGTGCAAAGGACCTATCCAAGTTGGGTCGGCGCGCGTCAGGTGCTTAACCGTTGTGGGATCTGATAGTGAGGTGCTGGCCAGGCCCCTTATATAGCTTCCTTGGATGCTTTACTTTCATAGTTCCTTGATAATGTGAGTAGTCACGAAAGCGCTTGGAATTTCTCTATTCTTTCAGAGTGGTTGTTTTGCATATATATATATATATATATATATATATATATATATATATATATATATATATATATATATATATATATATATATATATATATATATATATATATATATATATGTCGTGTGTACTCACCTAATTGTGGTTGCAGGGGTCGAGCTCAGCTCCTGGCCCCGCCTCTTCACTGATCGCTACTGGATCCTCTCTCTCTCTCTGCTTCCTGAGCTTTGTCATACCTCTTCTTAAAACTATGTTTGGTTCCTGCCTCCACTACTTCACTTGCTAGGCTATTCCACTTGCTGACAACTCTATGACTGAAGAAATACTTCCTAACGTCCCTGTGACTCGTCTGAGTCTTCAGCTTCCAGTTGTGACCCCTTGTCCCTGTGTCCCCTCTCTGGAACATCCTATCTCTGTCCACCTTGTCTATTCCCCGCAGTATCTTGTATGTCGTTATCATGTCTCCCCTGACCCTTCTGTCCTCCAGTGTCGTCAGTCCGATTTCCCTTAACCTTTCCTCGTACGACATTCCCTTGAGCTCTGGGACTAGCCTTGTTGCACACCTTTGTACTTTCTCTAACTTCTTGACGTGCTTGACCAGGTGTGGGTTCCAGACTGGTGCTGCATACTCCAGTATGGGCCTAACATACACAGTGTACAGTGTCTTAAACGATTCCTTATTAAGGTATCGGAACGCTATTCTCAGGTTTGCCAGGCGCCCGTATGCTGCAGCGGTTATTTGGTTGATGTGTGCCTCCGGTGATGTGCTCGGTGTTATGGTCACCCCAAGGTCTTTCTCCCTGAGTGAGGTCTGTAGTCTTTGTCCACCTAGCCTATACTCTGTCTGCGGTCTTCTTTGCCCCTTCCCAATCTTCATGACTTTGCATTTGGCTGGATTGAATTCGAGAAGCCA